CCCACCCCCCGCGGCCCTGCGCGCCTGAAGAGCTGCTTCAAATTGTCGGGCAGCCGCGAGCGCCCGCCGTAGCCCTTGCCGGCCGGGTTGAGCGTCACGAAGATCCCGGCGTTGGAGTCGACAGCGATGGGGCGGCCCATGAAGTCCAAAGTCTTGGCCCCCTCTTTCAGCGCCGACTGTGGTGGCAACGACAATTTGTGTTTGGCAAGGGGGCGGGGAGGGTTGAAAACAATAGCTAATTTCTTATACCGCCTGTGGTTGCAGCAACTGTGGACTACAATGATTGTTAGGAGTGATCAACCTGGGGTTGAGGTTTAGGGCCAGGGCCGTATACATGAACCCCAGGTTTGGGGCGTGAGCACCTGAACCCTCACGATCACACTGTGGGTAGCGTAAGAGCAAGCTCTGCATGAACTGGCCTGCGCCTTCAAGAGAAAGAAACAATATGAGTTAACCATACCTGTATTGCCTGGATCTGTTGGCTAACCGCCGACAGCACGTCCTCCCCCAGCCGGTTGAACTCGTCAAAGCAGCCCCAGGCGCCGCACAGCACGAGGCCCGTGAAGATGCGGCCCATGCTCCTCATGTCGAACTCCTCATCACAGTTGAACACCAGAACCTGGCCAGGGGGTGGGCGGGGGTGAGGGTGAGGGTCAGGGCGGCAATGAGGATGAAGAAAGGCTGCGCAGGAAGAGTAAACCTTGGCCAAAGGGGTCAAAGCTGGCTTTGTTGCAGGCGATGGGTCCGGTATCAGGTCGCCCAGCAACACTTGGGTGTATTTCACGTGGGCTTGGGAGTATTTTTGTGCAGACGCTGCTGCCCTACAGCAGCCCATGTGCTTGCACTGCAGTCGCGTTCACGCCTTCATCGCTCCTCGGCGGCAGCTGCGGCCACGGCAGGGGCACGTCTCACCTGCCGCCCCAGCGCGGCTCCTAGGGCTTTGACAGACTCTGTCTTGCCGGTGCCGGCGGGGCCGTAGGGGTTGCCGCCGTATCCGAGCGCGAGCGCCTGCGGTGTTTCGAAGATCAGGGAGCACAGCATGTCCGCCTCTGCAGGTCGGTGCTCATGTTGGTCAATGCTGGACGTGCAATCACATCAATCAATCCAAGCTGCTATGCGGAGTTCGACCCCAGGCCGCTCTCCATCCTTTGTCCTATTGCCGCCTCTACGCACAGCAAACCACAGCTGTGCGCGCAGGGGCACCTGGGTTGGCGCCAGGTGCTCGGGGCCGCCGCCAAAGAACGGGCCCTACCCAGCTGGGCCCCAATTCCAACAGTCGCATATCCCACCCCACCATCCCCGGTGGCGCGCCTGGGTGAGTGTGAGGTAAGCCCTGTCTGTCAGCGGCGTGTACACCAGCCGCGGCGCCGCCCCCTGGTACTCCCAGCTGTAGGGGAAGGACGCCTCGGCCATGCGCACGGACACGCCGGCGGCCGCGGCCTGCTGCGGGCCCTGCAGACGGCGCATCACACGCGAGGAACAGTTGAGGTTGGGTTTTAATGAGTCTACCTGTAACATGTCCGTCAAATATGGCAGGAGCCCGCTGAAGAGATGACTGTAGGGCAGGTTTGCAGCACACACGACGCTGGAAGGCGGCGTAAGCGGTCAGGTGCGGGGCTCGCCTTGTTTTGGGTCGTCGTGGGTGCGGCATCTTGGTAGTACCGCAGCTGCTTGCTCCACTGCCAGTCCGTGGCGGCTGTCGGTGGGTCGGCCGCCAGCGACTCGGTGACGTCACAGGCGTGCATGAGGTCCACAATCATGGCCTGTGAGGTCGTAGGGCAGGAAACTAATGATAATGCCACAACAATAGCTGGCAAAAGGCTGAGAAGGAATGTGACGACAACTGATTTGCAGTATTTCCCGGCCCCTGCGGCACTGGTCAGTGGTTGCAAGGCAGCTGGGGCAGGCTGAGTGAGGATATAAGGTGAGTTGAGGTGGGCTGACGAGCCTGGCATGCAGGGGGATGGTTATGGTGGAAGGGGGCCGCTTTGATGGCAACTGGGTACAGGGATCCCCACGCATCCAATCTTGTGCGCCCGCCTTTCCTGCTTTTTAGCCTGCAGCAACGCGTGCCCCGTGTAGTCGGCGCGCGCCAGCTGGGCCAGCTGGGAGCGCAGGTCCGAGGCAAGGTGGCCGATGGAGCCGACAGCAATGGCGGCCTCGGCCCTGGCAACGTAGCAGGCGTTTGTGGGCGGTTGTGGGCAATTCGGGTGGCATAAGGGGAGGATGGTTGCGGTTTTTGTGGCCTGCCGGCCCTACTGGAGGGGCGGGCGGCAATCTACATTGCAATCGTGGGCCATACTGCCCTCGCTATCTCCAGAAATCATATGGCTTGGACCAGTGCGGCGTTCCAGCAAGAGCCTGCACTGGTCCAGCGTTCATTTAAAGGTATCCAGACAAAAGCAGCTCGCATTACGCTTCAGGATCTGCAAAGAAAGGGAACCCCCAGCTCCTCACCTGGTTGTGAAGTCGACTGCATGCAGCAGTCCGAGAACCTGCGCCGGTGCGGACTGGAACATGGACGCGCCCAGGGAGCCGGCCGCTGCAGTTGCAAGACTCTGCTGCAGCGTGCGACGCATGACCTGCGGGTTGGAAACATGCAGTGGGTGAAGCCACAAAGCTGTAGGGGAGGCAAGTGCTGCCCCTTCTCATCACATCATTGCGGATGTTGATTCCCAAGTCCCCATTTGCGCCCTGCCAATCGTACTCTGCCGAGCACCTGACACGACAGCAAACACACGCGCGCCAACAAACATACAGCAGGTCCCCACAGCCCCGGCCCCATCGCGGCCACGTCGCCCCTCACAGGCGCAGCCCCTCGCAGGCTTCAGCCCCAAACTCGCGCACCTCTGCCAACCCCGCCAGCCAGCTCTCCACCCTGTCGCCCACCGCCACCCGGGCCGCAAGGTCCACAGCCTCGCCCTCTCCGCTGATCATGCCCGTGATGGCGCCGCCCTCGGGGGCAAACTTGACCTAGAAGTCGGGGGGGTGGTAGAGGGGGATGACATTGTGGGAGGATAACATCATGCACGGCGACAACATCTTTTCCTGTACTCGTTTTCAACATGTGACCAGCAGCCATGGCAGGTGGGTGGGTGAGCCCAGCCCAGAGTTCTGCAGCGGCAGCCAGGCCCCAGGCGTCACACAGAAAATCAAAGCATCGACTCCTGTCAGGAGGGCAGCCACAGGGTGTGCCAGCGCGCCGAGGGGCCGAGCGAGTACGTGCTTCGACCGACCCTATTAATGTTGTTTGTTGTTGCTCGTTGTCGGCCTTTGGGGGGAGGGCGGGGCACCCAGCGGCGCAGCGCACCCGATGGATGCCCGAAAAGAGCTTGCGCAGGTGGGCCTGGATGACTGATGGCGAAGTGGCCTGCCCCAGGACCTCCAGGAGGTCGTCGTCTCCCAGGAAGTAAAACCTGCGGGATGACGCGGCCACGCAGGGGGCCCCAGCAAAGTGTTAGGTGCCATTCCGGGCAAAATCCTCCACAGACAATGGGGCTGGCTGTTGCCTTCTTGCAGCCAAGCTTATTTCCCCCAGGTATTGAGATTAGCATTTGGGGTCTGGGATCAGGATCAATAGCAGTTCGTCCAAGCCCGCAGCGGCTTTAGGGACAACCAAATGGGATCGCAAAGCCTGGGCAGCAGCCCTGAGAGCCGCCCTGAAGGCCCCGCGCGCCTGGGGAAGGCGTTCCGCTTCTCCTCCAGGAAGTCTGACAGCGCCCTCTGGCAGGCGTCCAGCGCGGCCGCCATGGCCGCCAGGCGCTCGCGCGGGGACGGCAGCTCGGTGAACGCGAGGACCTTGCGGGATGCCTGTTTGTGCGTGTGTGTGTGTGTGTGCGTGTGGGGGTGTTCGCGTGTGTGTGTGTGTGCGCGTGTGTGCGCGT